AAAAAAGTATCATCTTATAGTCGGAAAAATACGGTATATAATATTTTTATCATGCCTTTTTTTAAAATTTATTTTAATCAACTCAAGGCAGGAAACATACTTAATGTGAGGTTCTCAACAATATTCTTCTCACTCTGACAGATTTAAAATAAGCTTTTAAATTTATACTTTGAACACTGCAACACAAGCAGTGCATATTTAATCCTTCATTAGCAATCTGATATATGAATCATTTTAGATATCCACTTTGATTATGTTGAGCTACTCTCTGGCAGACAGCTAAAATAGCTTCCATTTTGAAGTAATTTTTTTTTCTTGAACCAGCTCAACTGTAGCTTTATTTTAAGAAGCTGCACCGAAGCTTCTCTAGCAAGAGGACTTTGGGCAAAGAGGTGAGAACAGATGGACCATTTAGCCACAGAGTTGTATAGGCAAATGCAAGAGGCAGCCAGTTAATGTCTGTACATTAGATAAAGGCTGGGGACCACAATACAAATATCAGAGCAATCACTCTGGCCTTATAAAAATACCAAGATCTTAGCCCCTATTATAATAGTGTAACTCTAATGTCTTGGATGTCACTAGCTTCCCTGCAAGAGATTATCAGTTTTGTATCGTTGCACCTTTTCACACTAATCAGTGGATGTTACATATTGGTTTGGGTCTGAGACTTATCTATACAATCAATTATTTGCTATGTGCAAAAGTTGGGACCGTAAGAATAGCAAAAACTATATACATGCGCACTCAGTGTGTATTAAAGGCATCAAGCACTGTTTAATGGTTAGTACAGTAAGATATGTATAGCAAGATATGCACAGTAGTGCATGATTTCTCAGAAGAAACTAGGTATTTTTACAATGGTCAAGCCTTTAACTATGCTAGTTGCATGTGTCGCTTGTTATGTATTCTCTGGGAGATAAAACAAAAATATATGGTTTAATTTTGTCTGTCTCTTACTTACATTCAAAGGATTGTGTGGGTTTTTGTCCTTGCATAGTTGGCACCACTGTGCATTTGCCAAAGACTTGGGCATCAAAGCTAGCATAGTCAAAAGGTACTTTCCCACATTTCTCTTGCTCTCTTGTGAAAGTGGTTCTGGAGGAAGGGGTTGCTTGGGCAGATCGGCAGCTGTACTGAGATAACTCAAAATGTTTCACCAAGTTTGTCCTTCACAATGAAGACAAAAAATATCAGAATAATGACTATTATTATTTGATTCATTCTCTAGCAGAGATTCACCTAACATAGTAATATGTTAAAATTACAGACTGGCACTCAAAGATTAAAACTAGGGAACATAAAAACTAATGTTGTTCTTATATTTCCCTAAAGTTCCTTTCTTATATACGAAGATATAAGACTTCTATAGAAAACATATCAAGTCAAAACAATAGATGTAAGGGGAAATGTTGAGTCTTCCTCCTTCCAATCTCCAAACTTTCATGTGAATATCTGTACAAATATATGGGTCTGTGTCTGTGTCTGTGTCTGTGTCTGTGTCTGTGTCTGTGTCTGTGTCTGTGTCTGTGTCTGTGTCTGTGTCAGAACAACTGATGCCAGACTTCCCCAGTTGTGAGGGGACTGCAATTTCCAAAATGTTCAATCATTATCAAGAGAAGTTCAAAAGCAATTCTCATACTTCTTGACAGTTACATTGAAAAATAGAGACCTTTTGGTTAGCTTTTAAGCAGGTCTTTTGATCCCTTTTGCCTGATGATTTTTCTGATAAATGCCAGGTCAATTCATAATAAGACTAAGCCTGTCCAAGACTTGATACCAGGTAAAAGTACATTTAACTTTTTGCTATTGTGGTTTCCCAGAACAACAACAGCCAAAGCTGAGGGGCTGGGGAGGGACTTGTAGTCCACAGCAGTGTTTCTCAACCTTGGCAAATTTAAGATATGCAGACTTCATCTCCTAGAATTCCCTGGCCAGCATGCTTAAAGCTGCCGAAGTTGAGAAACACTGGTCTACAGAATTATCTTTCTCACCATAAAACCCCTCACAGGTGAGGCAGACAAATGTAGTGGTGTTTGTGGTTAGGAACATCTATTATCAGCTTCGACTGATTCACCAGTTATGCCGTTTCCTGGATACAAGTCCAGCTGGTGTTGCCCTGAGAAATCAGGAGGACAGAGTTGAGTTGAATTTACTCTTCCCAGCTTATCTATTGAGGTCTCATGAATACATACTAGGTCAGCTCCTTATCCATTATCAATAATGTATAAGAGAAGTTATATTGTGGATCAACCTGGCATTTATCAGGCAAAAGGGATCATGCTACCAGATACTTAACAAGAAAGGCCTTTGCATTTTTTATTTTTGTCAAGAAGTCTCAGAGTTTCTTTTGAATTTCTCTTTTTTACTTTGGTGTTGGAGATGTCAGAGATGCTATTGCCAGCATTGTTATTTTTTGTCACAGTCTGTCTATCATTCTGAATCCTTCATGGCTGCCCATATTTCTGAAAAAGACCAGTCCCTTTTCTGGACAGGAATAACTCGGTAACTGTTGTCCACAGGCAGGTGACCTCAGATTGGGATTACTGAAAAAACTATATGTGGGGCTTCTTTATTTCTGTCCTGGAAGATGCAAATCCAGTGGCCAGTCTTCTGAGTGGGCACTTAGCCATACTCATAGTATTCATATGCTGAAGCAACAGCACTGGCTACCCATTAGCTACCATGCCAATTAGTACTGGCTTATAATGCCCTGAGTTACAACAGATGGCATCTCTTAAATGACCTTGGCTGATTCTGAAAAAGCTAAGCAGGGTTGGACCTGCTTTGTATTTGAATGGAAGATCACCACCAAAGCACAGGGCTGTGGACTAATCTGAGATGTCAAAAAAGCATTCTGGAACAAAGGTATGAGAAGACATGGATGTGGATGCATCCATAATGTCAACAGGAATTGAACTCAACTGCAGGGAGACTTTACTTCTTTATAAAGCGCTGAACAACTTGGAATCAGAATCCCAACATGACTGTCTTTCCTTTAATAAATCTGTACAATCACTATGATCATCTGGGGAGGTCTTACTGCTGATGCCGTGAACTGGGAATTATCATCTTCCAGTCATTCCAGCCTCCTTAGTGGTGGCAACTACTTTTTGGAATGCTTTCTCCTGCTATTAGTGGGATGCCTGCTATTACAACATCTAGGTCCCTACCGAAGACCCATCTTTTCATCCAAGTCTTCCCTGTGTAAACAATGGAGAGATTTTTCCTCCCTCCAGACATTTTAATGTATTATAATGTATATATAATGTATATATATTTAACAAAATAAGATAGAAATTCCATGAGAAGCAGAATATAAATAGGTTAATGAAATACATAAATGAAATGATAACAAAGTCCCAATTTCCTGCTACTGAAATTCAGCTGCATAATGACCATGGTCAATCGGTGGGTTGTGGTGATTTTTCAGGTGGGAGGTCAATAAAAGTGTAAATTCTCACCCAGAGTTCCCCCATTGGGAACAATTTGGTAAATAAAAAAATAAAAAAATAAAATACAAGCAGTGCAAACATTATGGTGCTGAAATCAGCCATGTTGCCACTGAATTTCGGTGGCAAAATTCTCAGGTGATTGGGGGTGCATTAGGACATTAGATTGCCTACCTCTTTGATAATGCATGATGACTCATCTGCACCTTTTACATGGCATTCTACAATGCATTAACTTAATATCTGTAAACTTCTACCTGCACTACCAATTCAAAAGTTAAATGTTTCAGAATATTACAAGGTATAGCATGAATTACAAAAGTCTTTATCCAGCATGCATCTATTATATGTACAATTCAAGATTCTTACCTGTGGACCTGATCGTGGCACTGCCCTGTTTTGAGTGATTCATGTTGATTTTTTTCCTGAGACATTGCCATTTTTTCAGCTGCAGCAATTGGACATCCAGAAAGACTATTTGAAAAGATTTGTCACATAGAAATAATTGTTAACAGTTTACATTCTGTCCTTCCAAAGCATTAAGATTTCTAATATGCATTTTGTATCATAAGTAAAATATTATTCAGTGTGTTGCCCTCCTTTTCCTTCTGCTTATCATGTTAATTACTATTATAGCCTTTGAAAGTCCAGCTATAACTTCTCTTCATTGCTATCTCAAGCTATTGAGCCTGCTAGATCTTCCTCTCCTCCACATCCACTGATGATTTTAATTTAGCTAAGTTCCCATGCCCATTCACATACTAGGACACCATCAATTCTTTTCATCTGACTGTGGCTAACACAATTATTTCATTACCTCCATCTATAACATCATTACCTCTTTAGACTTATAAGAACATAGACCTCTCTAGTAGCAATGTTGGCCTTGAATGTTTTGTGATATAATGCTTGTTTCCTTATCAGTTTCTTCCATGGAGAATTAGCCAAGTAATCCTTACCAATTATTTTAATGTATTAGATCAAATCATGATCTATCATAAACTGATCATAAATTGGAGTTCTTGGAAGATTAAATCAGCACACCAAAGTATATCAAGTTTGAATCAAATTAGATACTTTTACTATACAGAACTGACCATATCAGTCTTTATGGTTCTTTGTAAGTCATTTTAATTTCCTTATTGTTATAAACATTTTAATATCAAGTTCATACTTAGGATTTCACATAAAATTAAGATGAAGCCACATGCCTGTATAAAGTATATATAAATATGTAATTGAAAGCAAAAAAGGGGGGCGTATACTATCTGAGATTGGATAGCATGTGTTTATATTGGTATTCTGGCTCTCTTACAGCAGAGTTGTCAATAGATTATGACCTAGGAATGAATATATTTGATTTAATTCTAACATTTTTTGGTACTATAAAATGCAATGACATAATTTCACCACAGTTATGTACTTTTCTGTTCCAATTATTTCAACAGGAGAATTAAGTATATGCTTCATTGTCTTTCAATGAAAACCATGGGAGATAAAAGTACTTCATTTTGGCTGGACAATCTCAAATTTAGGCACAGTTGAATGGCATATACCACTAATGTTTGTGTAAGGAAGTTTTCTTGGAGGAATTAAAAGTTTAATACATATAATCCTCAGTTAACTATGGTAATTGGGACCAGGAACTCCATGGCTAAGTAATGCAGTAATTGCCCAAATTGCAATTGCATGACTGTGGGGATGCTGCAACAGCTGGAATTTCAAGGACCTGCTGTAAGTCTCCTTGTTCAGCACTGTTGTAACTTCAAATGGTCACTGAACAAATGGTTGTTAACTGAGGACTACCTGTATTGTTGCTTTATATAGAATGACAGATGTTAAAGAAAGCACCCCTTCTTGAAGATACTAGATTATCACCAATGGAAACAGGCTTGAATTACCTTCTGTGAGTGTTGCGGTTGCTATTGACATGTCCTCTTCCTGTACATCCAGGAGTGGGGCACTTTAAAACATTTTCATGCATGGCAAGGACTAAACAAAAAGAAAAAACAAAGAAACAAAAATCCCTGAAATCCATGCTAACTTTACAGAAGTGGTTCAAAGTTCGCATTTGAGGGGAGATTTACACAGTAAAATTTATACTAGCGAAGTTTCAACCAATAAATATTAAGACCAGTCACAACTGCAAAATGGATGGCTATATAAATTGATTAAATGAATAAATGAACAAACAAACAAACAAATAAATAAGACACTTGGTTATACAGCTATTACATATTCAACAAAGTAGAGAATTTAAGGGTGTTTGAGCCGCCATGTATCTCCCAAAATAACAGATCTGACATTTTCTAAGTATTGTATTGTATTGTCCATTGTATTGTCGAAGGCTTTCACGGCCGGAATACAATGGCTGGTGTGGGTCTTCCGGGCT